TTGGAGTGAGTAACAGAAGAAAACAAAAAACAAAAACAGTAATTGGGGAATTGTGCATAGAAGAGAAATGCACAAGAAGCAGTAAGAAAATAGATAAAAAGTTTTATATATATATATATATATATATATATGCGCGTGTGTGTATGTATGTAAAAATTTCATATAAAGTATATGTGTAAAAGGACAATATAAACAAAGATAAAAAGGTATAATGTGATGAAAAGGTATAATGTGATAAAAATGGACATATTAAAAGACAATTCAAAAAAGAAGGTATCAAAAAAAAAGTCAAATGGTAATACCAAAATATAAAAACAATTAAGAAACTGTTAAACTGGTTTACGGATCCTTTCTGATCTGAGAGAAGATTGAGGACAATAATGTGCACAGCAGCTAAAAAAATATCACATCCAAGACAAATGTCATATACAAGAAAATATAACATTAAAGGCTAAATTCCTTTAAGCTCACCATTCCTTTGAGAATATTGGCTGGTATATGTTGGTTGAAAAAATTCATGAATTTTATTCTTATCTACCTGCAAAATTCATTGTTTGACATCTAAATTGGTAAATTATCAAACTAATATTATGGGTGAGCAGAAGATCCTTCCGGACTAGTCTTAATATAGGTCAGGCACCAAAAACAATATATGGATTGGCAGAATTATTATTATTTTTTTTTTTTATACATCAACAGTAATCTATTTAAAACATCTTGAATTAAATCACCAATCCATTACACATTGACTGCTAGACAGGACATTTCTGGATATCAATCATATATATATTATATTATGTTATTGCATTTTTTCCCTTGAATGCTGGAATCACAAACCCAAAGGGTATCCAAGCTCTCTGATAGAACCTTCTTTAAATAAATTCAATTCCAATTCTAAAAAAAAGATTTACAGAAATATTAGAAGGTTGAAAACCAAGGTTTTAATCAAGTTGATTTTTTGCTGTTTAGAAGAAAAGAAATCCTACAAGTTGATTTTTTTGCTGGTCTTTGATACACCAATGTATGAGATACTGAATCTGATCATTATACAATGGCATCAAGAAAAAGAAAGACCACCATTGTTCTCTTTTTGAAGTTCAAAGAAAGGTAAATTGTAAAATTAAGTGTGGAAAAAAACCAAGCAATTTTTTTTTGTTGCAAAAATAATAAAGATGAGTACCACAGAAAATTTTCTGAGGGTTCAAAAAAAAAAAAAAAAAAAAAATGCTGAAAAGAAGCCTTTAATAAAATTTAGATTTTTGGCCAGATTTAATAACTATGTATACATACACACAAGAAAAAAAAATGATAAGCTCTTGAATAAAAAGCTAATATATATATATATATTATTCATTATATATACTAAAACAATATATATCAGATGGAATTATAATATATACATTTTTGTGTAAGTCTACATCTTTTTTACATATAAATATCATTTGTTGGGGTATACATATATATAACATATATACATATATATTGGATATATAAAAAAATATATATAAACTCCTGTTTGTACTACTAATTGATCTCAAGTTGTAACAGAAAATAAAATAAGATATTTGTATTTTATTTTTACATCATCTATATATATTTGAAAACACATATATAAACAATAAATAGATCAATTCAATTCACAAACTTTACAAGCTTCATGTTTAGGGTCCCCAGCTGTTTTATCACGGTGGCTTGCAAAAGGGAGTTTAATTTATCAATCTACTATTTCTGAAGTGCATTAAAAAAAAATATTGAACAATTTTAATTTAAGGGTTCATTTTTATCTAATTTCTATTGAACATGTCATTTCTGATTGCAGTTTTATTTTCTAACATCTTCATGTAATATTATCAGACAACACTTTGATCATCTAATGACCAAAATGATCATCACCATCTGACTTATCTCAGTGCTCTTACTATTCTAACAAGTTCCATCATAGTGATTCTCAAATAGGAGACACTTGGCTTTGGTTGAAATTTCTCAGATATATAATGATGAAACAATTTGTTATTGAATAAAACTTGTGTGATTTAGAACTGACAAAATGAATAAGCAATATGAACAACAATTTTAATTTTTCTTTTTTTTTTTTGTGAAAGTTCAAAATTATCTAAAAAAAATTATTTGACTAACAAAAAGAAAAGTGCTGGAGTTGTACTTTAAATTAAAATTGTAATATTTGTGAGCTCTTATACATGTTCATTCATTCTTGTCCCTTATTTCTATATAAATTCTTCTTTTTTCTTATAATTTTAGAAATATCAAATATATTATTTTTTTTAAAGGATGTTTTTAATCAGAATTTTTATATACCAACATTGTTTAAAAATTTTTAAGCTTAGTCTGGAACAATGTCTCAAGAATGAATGCATCTAACTGCAGATTTAACTCAAACATGGTGGTAATGGCTTTTAGAGACTTTTTTAAGTAATAACCATCAAATATGTGAATAATAAAATAGTAGCATTATCTGTCTATATTTCTTGATGAGGTATTATGTTTTATATTTATTTACATTGTTAAATTTAATACTTTCCTATCTTTTTGTTGCCATAATTAATCACAACGTTTTGGCCATTGTATTATTATGTTTTTATCTTTTGGTTTTTGGAATATTGAACTGAATCCTTTATTTTGCTTGTTGGGGTAGACTATTCTAGTTCCATGTCTAATGGATGTTTTTATCAAACTCTCCTTAAATTCCCTCTCAAACCTCCACCAAAATAACAAAAATTGAACTTAAACTTCTTTTAAAGAAGCATTTTTTCAAAATTAGATCTAATAAAATACTTTATCCAAATGGTGTGTCCTTGGGCTAGTAGCATGTGTGTGTATAAATATATATATATAAATATATATATAAAAATATATATATATGTGGACTCTCCCATTGTATTTGATGTTTGAGGTCAAGCAGCTCAAACTCTATCACTAAGACAAATCATGACAAAAATAAATAAATAAGTTGATTATAGTTTTAAGGTTTTCTCCAAATGACATAACCACATTTTTTTTAAGGGCCATAAATATACAGAAATAATATTATGTGCCAAAAGGTCCCCAAAACAACCCTCTACAGGTTTTGAATTCAGAGTTGTCCTTCTCCTAACCAGTTGCCATCCAAGGCTATAGAACCCAGTCTGTTTTTACCCATAGCTGGAGGGAAAAGAAGAGGATTAATTTTCCCAAAATATTTTAAAATTTAAAATTGAATGTAATGGATTTCAAAATGGAATTAAAAAATGAATTCATCAATCTGAATCCTTTTATCCACTACTCCACCAAAAGAATCCATATAAATATATATATATATATATATATATATGATATGCCATAAGATGTAATCTTTTGAATGACCCATGTCCTTTGTACTTACATGAGAAACAATATATTACTAGGTTTATATATAAAATAAAAGTTTACTAAATCAGTGAAATTAAGTAACCATTTTTAACGTCATAGTCATAAATTTTTCAATAAAAAAAAAAAAAAAAAAAAATGTAACACCTCATATACATACTTAAACTTGATGTTAAAATAATCCTACATAATATAATGGATTCTAATACATTTAACTGTTCTTAAAAAGAATATATAGTATAATAAAAATTAAAAAAATGAGAATATTTCAAATCGTAGTTAAATAAAAAGTATTATGATCTGAACACCCCAAAAATCTTTAAATTTATAAATGAAAAAAAAAAAAAAAAATGTAAGAATTTTTTTTTACCGTTAACAATAATTTTTTTAAAAAATCCAGACGACATGCATTCAACGGATGTCAGTTTTTCATTGAAAAAAATACATCCCTACCCTTACCAAATTGTAATAAATAACTGATACAATGATACTTACATAAGGAAAAAACCTAGACATCCCTTGTCCAATTGAAGTAGAATATTCTGTAACCATGGAAACGTGATTTTAGCTGTGTCTTTAAAAACCCAGTTATTTTTTAAAAGTTACTCCAAAATTCGCTTGAGGATGAAATGGAACTAATGTTTTAATTTAATTGCAAAATTAAATTCTGGGCTTTTTAGCTTCTATTTTTGAAACATGGTTAGAACTGTGTAGCGAAAAAAAAACATTTTTAAATCAATTAATTTATAATATTAATGCTCTGTAAATTTACATTGAGCACTATTTTGTAAAAATAAAAATATCTATAAGAACACCGGATTATATATCTTACTGTTCTTTCTTTTATATATATATATATATATATATATATATATATATATATATATATATGAGAGAATGTTTTAATATTCTTGTTAGAAGAACGTTATCTCTTCATTGATCAGATATGATGCTTAAACTGTCCATCTTTTGAGGTCAACTTCTGAAATATATCTTTGTGTATTTTGGAATATGTTGTCAAACCAGCTGACTTGCATACTGAGCCACAAGTAGGACAAGTATACGGTGATCCTTCTTGGCCCACGTGACTTTAGATGGTTTAGTAAGCCTACTCTTGAGAAAAGAAAGCACCTCCACACATTAAACTTCAATTCCTGTTGGACATTTGTAGGCACAGGGCTTGTGTCTTACTTTCAGAGTGAACACTTCAATGCAGTATACTTTATCTGCTTTCTTTTTCACAGAGACACACTCACATGTTTAATATTTTACATGTATAAAATGTGTCAAGAACATTTGTATATTTATTGTCTGTACTATAGTTATCTTCCTTTCATTGGAAACACTTGGTGGCAGTGTATTTGTTATGACAATGATAGACTGAAGATTTTTAAAAAGCTAGGAAGTGTAAAAGACAGATTGTAAAAAAGCAGATGCTACAATTACATTCAAGGACTCACACATGAAATCTTCCTGATAAGGACTTTAACAAAATTTCAATATATCTTGTCGATAATGTAAAATAGTTATTTTATAATGCTAGCACTGTTATCTGTGTGTGTGTGTGTGTGTGTGTGTGTTTCATCAATTTGAAAGTCATTATTTTGATATATGAAATTGAAAAGTAAAACAGTTACCTCTTTCCTCTATCCGCTTAACCAACTGGTGTTCACCCCATTTTAACACAGCATTTAGGACGTCCAGTTCCCCAGCCTGAAGAAAAAGGAAAATACATGAAGAATTATGGAGAAATATAATAAAATAAAAGAAAATCACTTCAAATGTAGTCAAAGTAGGCAAGGATTTGTTTGATGCATGATTTAATTTGATGCATTTCCCTTGGTGGCAAATGTAATGATGGCAACACAAGCTGTATTCAGAAATGGCAACCAATTGATTAAAAGATAAAGAAAATAAAAACAATAAAATTGGAGAGGTGGGTAGAAAATATGCAATAAAAGTGAAGGAAAATCTCTAAGTCAATAAAATGGGAGGAGGCAGGATAGAGTAAATAAGATCAAAGGGAGTAAAAGAAAATTTCTTCAGTCTTAAAAGAAAGTGAAATGGGAGCAGGGGTATAAGTGAAGGAAAGAGTAAAAGGAAAATGAGCAATGAAAAATTTAAAAATAAATCAGAAATGACAGAAGAAAATTGATAAAATTAAAGCTATCAATACACAAAATATTTTAATTGTGTGTGTGTTACATGTGTTAATCAAAAACAAAAAAAAACTAAGATTTAAAATGAAAAATCTTTGAAGCTTTTTAGTTTTAATTTCAAGCTAATAGATTAAATTTAATATTTCCACTATTTACATTGGACTATTGTCCTCATCTTTGTCGCCATGTTTATCACAACGTTTTATTGTTGTAAACTTGATGCCTTTTCAATGGTTGAAAAAAAAAACTTTTAAATTTACATAATACCTCATCTCAGAAATATAGACAGTTAATATTTCCAATAAGCAAAAACTTTATATTTTGAAACGAATTTAAATTGATTAGAATGTCAAAAAAATATAAAAACACTAAAAATGGCTAATTTTAGCCAGATTTACAATTCTTGTAGCACAATGCAATTATTATTTAAAAAAAAACGTTTTCTGAATTGTAGTAAGCTTTTCCAGTTATGATAGTAAATATAGTTTTTACTTAACACTAACCTAACCAGTACAAATTAATACAGAATTTGAAAAGATTTAAAACTTTATAAATTATTTAAAAAAACAAAAACAAAAAAAAAAAAACAGTTCTTGTAAAAATTCATTAATCTTTGAGAAAACCATTTTTTCTTAAGAACCTAACCTTATCCATAATATATCTTATTCATAAAAGCAATTAAAAGCTTTTCTAATTAAATAATGTCTTAGTCTTATTGCATTTTTAATTTGATAACTAAGGAAATTTTGGTATGTAGGTTTTTAGAAAAATTAATGATTTAAATTCTCAAAAACTTGTTCTTATAACTAATGTAAACATTAATCACTACAAAAAAAGAATTTCTTGAAATTTCATAAAATTGTGTGTGTGAGAGCAGGTAAAAAAAAAACTTTTCTAAAATAATTTCAGTCATTTGTGAATAAGTCCTGAAAGTTTCATTAAATCTGACAATCATTTGATTTTTGCAAAAATTTCCAAATCAATGTGTTCTTTACTGCATTTAGGACATTTTTTTATCATGAAAATTTAATAAAGACAATGTTTTATTATCAAAAGTTTTGTCGCATTGAGAGGAAAGACCAAAGGATTTTTTAAATATTTTTTAATCTTTTGGAACATTCAAAATTTTGGTTAAAAATCTTGTTTTACTTGCATTAACATGTAGCCACAAATTTGTTAGAGAAATTTGAGTATCTTTTTTTCAGTGAAAAACACATTGATGTAAAAGCTTAATATGATTCAGTGACCCTCAATATTTTAAAAAGAATTAAATTTTTTTTGTGCTTGTATAAACATGCTGATTTTTGTAAATACAGACAACATTATCAGAAAATATGAGCAGTAACTATAGTAAATTTAAAATTTATTGGTAATTTTCTAATATTTCCTCAACAAGCATCTTCAGCAGGGTAAGACTATAAAGTCTAAGTATCTAAAATTCAATAAAATCTTAGAACGCATAAAATATTTTCAATTTTTAAGAGTACTGGATAATTTAAAAAGAATAATATAAAAAAGTGTTTACAGTGTATTCATCATGTAATTTTATTTCAATTACCTTACATAAATTTCCTAAACATCAGGCTGTTGATAAATCTGTCAACACCTCATAGAAACACCCAACCCAGTGCTAAAAAATGTTTTTTTCTGTAATATTCTGAACTAAATGTAAACAATATTTGTTTCAATTCAGATTAATTCAACTGTAAATCAACTAATTTTTCTTAAATAACATTTCAAAAAAGTATATTTATTTTTTAAAGATTTTTTAATAAAGAGAATTATGTTGTGTTGATAGATTTGTCAATATAAATGATTTTATTTATTTTACTGGTTAAAAAAAAAATTCCAATCAATTTAAATTCAGTTTGAAATACAGCAAAGTATTTTACTTATTGGAAATATTAAATTTAATCTATTAGCTTGGAATTAAACTAAAAATAACTGATAACTTTTCAGCAACCCCCTCTTGTATGTTAATAAATGAGTAAGCCACTTAAAAGCAAAATAGTACAAGAATAGAAATTTACTGCATTGTTCTCTGACAGTCAAAGATGAAAACCTCCCACACAGAAAATATTTTATCTTTGTAAACATCAACAAATCCTAAACACAAATAGGACTTCTTCTCCACTCTGTCAAATACATGTCTGAATCTAACACTTCAATCTATCTCAGTATTAGTAGCAATAACACAAAAGCTTTCATCATCTTTTTAATAATGGCCAAAGTTATTTTATTGCACTTATTTTTCTTGTATGCACAAATTTTAATACCAGGATTGACACTGGGTAGAAATAGATTGACTCTTATCCAAAAATTAAGCTGATAAATTGATATACAGCTGTATTTTACTATCCAAGGAACTGCAGCCTTCATCATCAGGCTAGTAGTAAATAATAAGATATAACACAAGTCTTTAATAATATTATGAAAATATTAAAAACAATATTAGTCAATTTAAATATCATCAAAGTCAGACATGACATCTTGAGAGGAGAAGCTCAAATAAATGAAAGTTTTTTCGATGTCATTTCATTTTTAAACTCAAATAATGACATTGTTGAACTTTTATTTATTAAAAATCTGGTAACAAAGTTGGTTCTTGTTAGTATTAACCCCCTTAAAATATCACTATATTATTCTATTATGAACCAGTGGCATCATGGTGGGGAGTTTGGTGCAGGGTGGTGTATGTAATTCGTCCTTATTGCTGTCACCGTGCAGGGGTGTGTAGGTACTTTGTCCTCATTGTTGTCATTATCTGTCTCTACTGGGGCAGGAAGCATGTCTAACATCTGGGAATCTACTTCCAACTCCCCATCACTCATGGATGAGTCATCAGCTTTATGTGCAGAAGAACAATGGTCTCATGCCAGTTAGATGGCATCCCACATCATGTGGGATGCCATCAATCAAGACAGATTGTGGAATGATGATCCCAGTAAACTTCCTGGTTGTAAATTTGGAGGTACATTGGTTCTGAGGTGGTCTTACCCACACCACATCTCCAACTTCATATATTTGGTGCTTTGTCAATGGTGTCAGTACAGATACAGTGTCAATGCCCTTGAGCCTAATAAATATGAATTGCATTAGCTGGTGCAATTGGACTTGATGCATCATCATTCAGTATAGCATTATACTAGTAAATGGTTTCTTGTATAGGGCACTGCTTCTGCACCGTAATCCACTTTATGATTCTATACCACCTTTCTATTATCCAGTTTCCAGATGGTACATGTGTGCACCAAAAATGCAGCTGGATGTCCTATTCCTTCATGAAAGCCTTGAATAACCTGCTGGTGAATACAGTATTGTTTCCTGTGAGGATTTTGTATAGTGGACCTCTCTTACAAAATATTGACCAACTGCCGAATAATGCTTGCAGAATCTCATTGCGATATGGGTTACCAAACAGAGAACTGTGTTGGCCTGCAGTCAATCAAGGTTGAATAATGACTGCGGCCATAATACGTAATATCCATCTCCAGCCTGGACCATGAACTGCAAACTGCTAGTCTTCCATTCTGCCAACACACTAGTGCTGGATCTATAGACTGGCTTTCAGGACATCTTTGAACCACCATATTGACAGCTGTGCTAGGTATGAAGGGACCAACTCGCCTGACAAAGTCGTGCGCTTAACACCAGGATGACCACTACGTTGATTTATTTGCACTATTTTACATGGAACCAACTCTTCCATGGCTGCATCAAATGCTGAGAGGATAAGTTCAGTGTCCTTTTTCAACAAATCCACCTCTGTGAAACTTTGGTAAGTTTGTCAACTTTATTTTGGTTGATTTTGCAAGCTTTACATCAAAGGTGAGGCCATACTCCACAATTAGCACCTGAAGTGCCCCAGTTGTCTCTGCATAAGCATCTCACATGTTGCCTTTATTTTCAGGTCAAGGTGTCATTGATTCAGTGGTGAGTACATGTTGAATCAGTGTCCAGATGCAACACTTTCACTTTCCACTGCAGGGCAGATTTTATGCTCTTTAATGCTGCATTGAGCTTGGCTAAGTTGATATATTACATGTCGCCATTGTGAGGAAGCCAGCATGCATCCTCCACAATGTCTCCATTCACTTCCAGTACCACTCCAGTGGCCAGAGAGCTTGTATTCATTCACACTCATTTCCTGGTTGCTCACACAACAGCCTCCTCTTGCAGGGTCTACTTGATGCACTCTCGTCACTGTTTCATGGATCATGCACTTCAAGAGGATGTCACAGGTTTTATCATCCCATCTTTTGGTTACTGCATTGGCTTCTCACTTCAAGAATGCTGCAGATGCCCTAAGCCAACCACATACTGGAAGGTGGCCTAGAAGCTTTCCATAGAAAGAGAACATATTACGATGCCTGATAACAGTTGGAAACTTACTTGCTCATTTCCATCGAAGCACACTACACTACCCCCAGACTTGCAAACCAAGCACTTTTGCACCATTGTCAAATTTCACAGGGTCATTGCAGATCAGTCCAAAGTTGAACATAGGTTTTCTGACTCATGCCATGGAAACTGAACTTTTGTTGATAAAGATACCATCTATTTATGCCAAAGTGGCATCTTGGATTGCTTCATCTTGTGACAGTACAGTTTGATAATTGCTTTCATTATAAGAAGTGCCACATTGAGGCTGAAGCCTAATTGTCTATAGGAGTACCTCCATCCTTTCAGTAACACAGTCTGGAAAGGCCACAGCGTACATGGACCTGTAGGTATACTCTCCTAAGATCCAAAAGGGATACGTTGCACCCCCATTGTTGCCAGTACTTTAGCTTGTCTGCACAGACATCCGCAATTGCCATGAACTTGTCTACGCCTCATTTAACTCTGTAATCCATTACAGAACTGTGGGGAAAATTTCAAGAAAATGGCCTACCCGGAATCGACGTTCGAATCTAATTCAGTCGAGTAAACACTAGTCCTTCCAACTGTAATGCCCTAAACAAAATGGCATCTCTTCTATTTTATGCCCGTAGTCTCGGCCAGTTAACGGAAATGGTCTCTGCCTTGTGATTCGCATGCAAATCGTGGTCGGTCCGTTAACTGTATAAAACACAGGCCGTTTCTGCTGTCGTTCAAATAAAAAGGCTTTCGCTAATGAGAAAATGGTTGGAAGCGACCGGTTTTTTTTCTACCTGCTATCACCAGTTGAATTTTTGAGTTACACACTTCAAGCTATTTCGGCAATGGACAAGTTCGATCTAAAGTTGATCCCAGAATTGACGGCTCCCCGCGTACCCGACTATCGCTGAATGGTTTGAAAAAGCCGAATGTTTGCAGGGTGTCCAAAATAAAGGAACCTGCACTAGTCATCCCACTGAGACTCACGGAAGAGCCTACGCAAATATATCAACAACTCGGGGTTCGATGCTGACCTAGAAGAGATCAAGACGCCCTGTATACGGCCTTTGGAATAGATCCATTCATCGCTTAAACAGTTCGTCGGACGACGGCTCGAGCCGGTGAGACCGTGAATGTTTACCTGGCTGATTTTTCTTTAGTTTACTGGCAGTACCGTTTACGGAGCAACGGACCGCATACTGGGGTCTCCTTCCTGGCAGGGCTTCAGATATACATATATCGGCTCCTATATATATTCAAGATTGGACACACTGGGAATTGGACGAATTATAGCCAGGGCCCCAAATATATTGAAGGATTTTTTGTAGATTTTCAACCCGGAGAATTGATATGATCATCACAAAGTGATTATTCAGTGCTGCTGCGCGGTAGACCCAAATTCTCGTCGAGGGATAGATAGAGCCGGGCGACAAAGGAGGGAAATTGAACAATGGAAATAATCAAAATACATTCAGTCGCGTAAATGGGTTTCGTAGCACAGGGATTGGTCGGATAAAAAAACAAAAACTTTCCTTTTAGTTGCCCCTCTCGTCAGTAAATATTCTCTGTCGTTATTAACGCAGGTATCAGAAAAATAAACGATTTTCTCTCCGAATATCAAACATGATGTTCCCCATATTGATGGATAAATCGAAGTAGTGAAAAAGCTAAAAACCAGATTCGAAAATTGTTGAAAATGTCCCGGCCTGTTGTCGGGTGTTCAGTCCCAACAGACGGAGGGAGTTTCAGTGCTAAAGAAGAAGAAGGTGAAGTCAAAAAGGCCCCTCGGTACGACCTGCTACTTGGGATTGATGATCCGAGCGTTAAGAGGCATGATGATCCGCCAGTCGGAAATGTGGAACTGGGTGAAAGAAGAAAGGTGTGTGCAGCCCTTTGCGTTAGTGAGCGGTTTTTACGTCTCCTTCAATTCCGGCGAGAGTGTGGACCGCCAGGTGGAAATGGGCCCAAAAAGACCCGCCAGTTCAGTTTCGCCCAACAAGGTCGCTGAGCAAAGTTCCAGACAGCATCAGAGAAAAAATACGAAAGAGCTCAGCAGTGGATTGTGAACGGCTGGCTGATTCCATACCCCAGGAAAGACTGGGACCCCAAAGGTCTGATTCCCTTGATGGCAGTCGTGCAGGAGCAGAAACAGAAGGTGCGTCCGGTACTCGATTACGCCGAATTGAACGACTTTTAGGATGCTTTCACCGCCGATGCAGTGTGCGCGCATTAGTTGAGAAACGTGGCGGCGGCAGGGAGTCAATGTGTCGCTTCTGGATCTGCGGGCGCATATCTTCAATTCACATCGACGGCGCTGTAGCCATTTCAAGCGGTTATTTCAAAGCCAACGCTTCTGTCTTCTGGCGGCTAAGTTTGGGCTAAATGTAGCGCCACTCATCATGAAATCCGGTATAAACGCCGCCGCATGCAAAGACCGCACAATTGAAAGTGCCACATCAACTACGTTGATGATATCTTCATTAATGAAGTTGGCCTCTGCATCGCGTGTAAGACAACACTTTTTCGGGATTCTGATTTGGTGTGCAAGGATCCGGTCGACTGAGAGATGGAGCAAAGGTTCTTGGCTTGCAGGTCTGGGAAGAAAATGGCACCCTCCAATGGAAGCGAGGAAGTCAAATTCCGGAAGCCCTTGATGTATTGACCGTTGACCTGTTTTTTCGTTGTGGGGAAACTTGTTGGACACTTCCCAGTGTGTGGATGGCTCAGGGTGGCAGTTGCATTAAAGTCAGCGCCTAGCAACCGCGGCAACCAATGGATGGGATGATAACATCAAAGATCCCTCTCTCTGTCGAGCACTAGCAGAGATGTTAAGTAGAGTCGGGAACTGGATCCCGTCCGGAGGAGACTGGTGCATGAGTGGTGGCGAGATCACAGTCTGGGTGGATCGGTTCCGTGGCGACAGGAGTGGCATTGAAGTAAATGTGAAAATGTCATCGAAGATGCGTGCTGGCTGCGTCCGACTAATGATGCCAGCATTAATTTGGCTGAACTGGCGCGGCAAAAGGTAAAATCTGGCTCTCCAGTGGGAGGCGACAACGTTGCACTTGGTCACTGATTCGATGTATGTGCACCGGTGGGATTTCAGACACCTTGACCGGGAAGGCACGGGTGAACACAAGGGCGGCTGGTGAGATGCTGGTCAGGCGACGGCTGGGCATTTTGCGATCGTTGGTGGATTTAATATGGATTGACCGTAGACGTGACACTTGTGCAGTCCTGTCAGAACCGTGCAGATCGCCTCACCAGAGTACCGCACAGGTGGCTAGAACTGCTCAAGAGAGGAGAACCGCACTCGAGAGCTGTGCAGTGGCAGGGACGACTGGATGAGGACCAGGTTGCCAATCACGCATCGTCAATGCGGACATCCGGGCGTGAAACGAACCCCTGTGCCGCCAGGTTAGTCGACGCAGGTGTCCAGAGAAAGCGTTAAATCCGTTGAAGGCCTGCACAACCTGTCAGTCGATCGATCCGGCACCCGTTCACTGGGAAAGAGGAGAACTGGCGTGAAAGAGCAACTGGAGCAGACTGGCAATGGACATAACTCACTACAATGGTGAGAATTTTTTAACACTCATTGATTGCGGTCCCTCCAGGTTCGCGGTATGGCGGCTGCGCAGAGACAAGACGCGAAAGCACCGTCATTCGACTGTTGGAGAATGTTTTCCTGGGCGAGGCCCACCCATGGAAAATACTGACGGATAACGATACTGCGTTCACCAGTAAAGATTTTAAAGAATTTGCGGACACTTGGGACGTGCATCTGCGGTTTTCGATGTGCCTACTCGCCAAGTGGAAGCGGCATCGTGGGCGGAACCACAGAACCATCAAGACCATCGCAGCCAGGAAGGGCTGCACAGTTTCGAAGCGGTTTACTGGTATAATGTCGCCCGAAGGATAACATTTCACCATCCGGCGCCGGCTGATGCACTGCACAAATATCATGTCCGCGTGAGGGCATCGAAGCCAACCCGCTGCCTGAACTAAAAGAAAGTGACTGGAGGAGATTGAAAAAAAGGAGACATCGTTTGGGTCAAAAACCCCACGCGGCAGTGTACGACAAAGTCGGCACTGGACGTGTTACGGAGAGTTATCAGCCCGCCAATCTGTGAGAGTTGATGGGGTGCCTCGTCACATTAAAGACTTTGCGACGGTGGCGCAATCACTACCGCTACCGGCGATGGCGATTCGAGTCTGGGATAGTGAGCGTTCAATCTGCCTTGAGTTAGACCTGCAGGGCAGCGATTCTGATAACAGCAGCCTCCCCCCGGACACAGTGTTTACCGACACTCAAACCACAGGCGAGAACCGCATCAGATGAAGCTTGTGTTATCCCCCCGGAGAGGGACTGCGACAGCGACGATCGCACCTCCCTGCCCTGTTTGTGATCATGAGATCAGGGGGGAGTGTGGGGAAATTGTGAAAATGGCCTACCCGGAAACAACGTTCGAATCTGCGCAGGGCGTAAACACTGGTCCTTCCAACTGTAAAAAGAAAACCAAAATGGCGCGCCCGCATTTTTTATGCCGAGTAGTCTCGGTCGTTAACGTGTCATCTCGTTGCCTTGTGATTCGCATGCAAATCGTGGTGGGTCCGCGGCTGTATAAAGCAGGCTCGTTTCTGTGTTTCAAACGAAAAGTAGCTTTCGGCTCGTGAGAAGGTTGGGACGTCACGACCGGTTTTTTCTTTGTGCCTACCTGCTATCACCAGTTGAATTGTTGAGTTACACACTTCAACTTGAACTTGTCTACGTCCTCATTTAACTCTGTAATCCATTACAGAACATACCTTTTTCTTGCTCTCTTGGATAACGGCCATAAGTGGAACTAGACTCTTGGGCTGTCCGAGCTCCTCCTCAGGATATAGTATGAGCCAGCCATTATCCAAACATCCTCCTAACCCCTGGTTATATTTCTTACATGCCAGTTTAGACACAGGATACTCTACTATCATGTTTCGTTGACCTGTTGATGCCTTATTTTTGGCCTACTTCCATGATGCCGTCCATGCTTTTTTTAGAATGAATTTAATGCTAAAGTCTGATTCCTCCATGGTGAGAGCTGCACACAGGGATAGTTTTCTGTCAAAGAACTCCACCATAGCCGAAGAAGTGATTCCTACTCTCCTCAGTTCCTTGATCGCATTCATCTCGATCAAGAGGTTGAAACCAAGTGGCTTCTCTTGAGTCACCATCTTGACAGGATTTCCACCTTGCAGCCAGAGAGCAATGACTCTGGTCCTAAAACAGGCACTGGTCTCCTTGTCTATAGTTGTTATGCATACAGGCCCTTTCATCCACGACTAGCATATCTCTCTTCTGGCTATAGACAGTAAACAGCCATTATTGACCAGTGTGATGACAGTTCTGCCATCAACCTGGACCACAATCACAGGTAGTGCTGGGCTAGAGAAGATACTAGTACTGACATATCTTCTCTTCTCACATTTCCTGGACAGTTTTGAGACATATGGTCCACAGTATGGCAATGGTAACAGCAAATGGTATTGTGTTGTCCTCGTTCTGTTATTTTCTTGGTTCAGACAATCTTTCAACATGTGGCTAATGCCATCGTGTCTAAAGCACTTTCTTACATCACCTTCCATGCTTTGCATTGGCCAGGCCGCCACTGCCACCATGACATACTTAATCTTCTTGTCTCTCATAACTTCCCTTGCTCAGGCAAACAGCTTGTCAATAGACAGCGCATACATCCTAGACAATACACAAAGAGCCCACTTTACATAGCCTGGCAACCTGTGCACAAATGGTCACTCATCACACACAACATGAACACGACTTTCTTCAATTCAGCCAGGTATACATCCACAGATTCGTTGTACTGAAGGTGTTACTCAATGAGTTGTTTATACGCCATGAACGAATCCATAGCAAAGGCTGTAACTAAGGCTGTCTTTATCTAGTCAATGTTGGATTTTGTTTTGTCATCCAGTTGCTGGTAGACTGCAAATGCTTTGCCTTTAAGTCTCAAAGGGATCATGTGCTTCAGAGACTTCACTCCACGTAGCCTGCAAAATGAATTCTAACTTCTCCATCTATTCAACCACTGGAAGACTGGACAATTGTGGAAGGGGACATAACTCCTGGTGTTTATAGCACCACACACAACTAATTTTGAGTCTCTTATTGGGTTGACCTGATTACTTGTTACAATATGATAGAATCATTCATTATCCATTACTTAATGGTCTGAGTAAGAAGTAAAATAAATTATCTGTGTGTGTGTGCATGTGTTTGGGATGGAAAAGATTGAACAGTTTATCATAAAAAAAAAAAAAAAAAAAAAAAAAAAAAAAATATTGCAAGGTAAAGGCAAGATCATTCAGGTCCCAGAGTCATCATTTAATGCTTGACCTAATAATTCTGTTTTTTTGGAGCACAGATACTAAATGCCACTGGCTAATCTAAAGGTGAAAAGAAGTCCTATAAAAAATAAAAAAAAAAGAAAGAAAAAAGGCCTATTCACTAAAAATTACTTTGATCCTGGGTGAGGAGGCTAGCCAAACAAATTTAATGGAAAAACCTGCAGGACCACTCCTTGCAGCCATCTGTAGTTTTGTTTGACTAATACCAGCTCTACTAAATAGACTTAATGCACTTCATTAACCATAACAGACTATGTATGCAGCAAAGACATTTATATATGTAACATGCTGAGATATTTAAAACCGTGAAAGAAAAGATAAATATCTTCAGTATTGGCTTTTGACTGACATGGCTATTTTTTTTTCTTTATTATTGATAAAAATATTTGAAGCTTTTTTTATGTACTTTTGGTCAATGTTTCATATTGTCATGGACAATGGACAGTAGAGCTATGAATTTGCTATTTACTTTAATATTGTGGTCTGGATTTTAATCTATTAAACTTTATTGATGGTGATTAATGTTTGAAAAAAATGAAAAATTCTGACTATGGCAATAAGTTTGAATAGAGATTAATGTGAAAAATAATTTTCAGGAAAGAAATTAAGCATCAGGTGTGAATGCAAATCAGAGGAAACAAATTAAACTGAAAAAAGGGTATAACATGGAATATAGCAGTGTTAATTATTAAATAACTTCTTGGAAACTTTAGATATTACTTAAACGTTAAGAAAAACATTACAAATATTAAAATAAAATTTAACAAAAAATTTTTTTAAATATTTATAAGTGCCATAGACACCCAAGAGGTTCTGGATTACGATATTTGGATTTCTGTCACTGAATAAAATCCATCTGCTCATCATAGCAATGAAACCTATTTGATTCTGTAGAACTGGTAGAGAGTGAACAAACTGGAAGGAGATACTGGTTATCTGTTAGGCTTCCAGAAATTAGAAAGATTATTTCAGTTGTAGATTGGAAAATGTTGTATAAGTATTAAAAAAGGAGTAATTCTAGCGATTTATAACAATTCCCATGAGTAATATCAGGTAAGCATAATAAGCTCATAATTTCTCTGTCTATTGGTCTGGAAAATGAACCATGAAGCAGTTGCCAAGACAACAGGTTTAAGTATGACACAAGTGGTATGAAACTAAAAATATACAAAGATGGGCAATGAATTTTGGACTGGGTTTTCATATTAATTTTGGCTATTTTTTTTATTGCAACTCTTACAATGTGGACAAAATGATTAAGCTTTTGGCAAAACTTGAACTCGCACTTCTTTTGCATCAAGAACTCTGTCTTTAGATGGCAGCTGCATTAATTATCACTAGAGCTGAAACTAAAACTTCAAAAGAAAAAAAAGGAATACAAAAGTGAGTTCAATATAAACTTATTTTTTATTTTTGATCAGCAATATTTGACATGTCGGACAGTTGTGATGAAATAACAATTCAAATTATAATGAAAAATTTATCAGTTTTAATAAAAATAAATGTTTGACAAGGTTTCATCTAATAATTAAAATTCAATAATCATTTCAAAGATGGGATATTTATTTTCAGAAGAAAAAACATGTTGATTGTAAAACTGAAGAATATGTAACAAGTACATGTCCCAGGTATATACCATTTGAACAGACAACAAATGTAATTTATACACAGGTTAAAGAGGATCATCACTGTAGAAAATCTTAAATAACAAAAAAGTAGGAAATTAAAATACAAATTTTAAAAATACTATAATGAAATTAATACAAAAAAATATATAAACATTTTACTAATTAATTAAAAATAAAACCTTAGAACCATAACATTACAGAATAATTAAAAGTATAAAATAAACGAAAAACAATAAATATTTAAGTTAAAAAAATAAAATTAAGTGATAACAAAATTAAAAAAATAAATGAAGATTTCTAAAGCCAACCAAAAAGGAAGGCGTAGGGAGTGTAAAAGATAGAAAGTAATTTGAATATGATGTGCCATTGCAGTTGAGGGAGGGAGATTGAATAAAGTGAAATAAAAAGAAGTTTCTGCATACAGAAAAGAAAAAGTATTGGGAAGGGATTGCAGGTGAGATAAGCCATGGCACAGAGGAGTAAAAAAATGAGGAGGGCAGCCAGCTTGTTTTTTCAGGTGGAAACAATGCAGCAAATTCAATATGGTTTGCATAGAGAAAATTTGAAGTCAGTGCGTGCAAATAGGTGTCTCAAAAGCAGGGAGGAGAAGGAAGAAAAAAAAAAAAATGACTGTCAGGGTCGATCAGTTCATCAACTTTTTTATTTTATTTTTTAACTTCCTTAATCCAGGAGTGAAACAATGGCAAAGAGAATAGTAAGAATATGAATAGTAAATTACAAAAAATACAGTTAAATTGCATATATTTATACAGGTAATAATATTAATGTAGAAAAAGAAACAAAGAAAGAAAAGACAACTGTACTAAATTTCTTATAGAAGTTATATTTTTGTGCATAAAGTCACTCACATTGTATTCATTTGGTACGAATGTAACTTAACCATAAAAACAAACAAAACATGTCAGAAAAAGCATTGGATATCATCTATTTTCTGAAATTATTTACTAAATGAATATTGCTTATGATTAAGAGATTTGGACATAACATCTCTTATAGATGTCTATTATTTTTATCAAGTATGTTAAAAAAAAAAAAAAATGCGCAACTGATCTTAAATTAGACAAAATTTAATTTTCATAATTCTTATATGTCATTTCCGACCATATAACATAAATTTGGTAAAGAGTATTTAGGAAAAAAAAAAAAAAATCTATAATTTTTTTAATGCTTCAATATTATTTTGATTTTTAACCAAAATTTAATAATTTATAATCTTATTTTATTTTGGTATCATCAGGGGCTAGTATGTAATAGGGATGTTTAGATATTAATCTATTATTGGTAACCCAATCATATCAGTGTACAAGAATAATTTTGGGAGTTTGTTTTAGGAGGTGAGTGCCTTACAAGATGGGAAAATATGGGAAAGCAATTGTTTCATCATATTTTCAGACATGCTGGAATTATTATATATATATTATAAACAGGCAAATATTGAGGTCAACATCCTGCAGTGAAATAGAAACATTGGATACAAGTCTTCTTTAATGAAGTATGTTTGAAATTATGGCTTAGTTCAGAATCATAACAGTCAACTGATTTATTTGTGGGTCATTTAAAATGGAAACATTTTGAATTGTAAGAGTACCTCTCCTATCTGGGTTTATTTTGGGAATAATGATTTTTCTGGATGCATGACCTACTATTTAACCCATAGCTGGAGGAGTAAATGGCTTCATATGTAAGCGAATGTAGCCGACTCAATTCGAATTTGGTTGTGATTTCTCATTCTGAGCTAGTATTACACCATCCGCACATCCCCAGAATAATAAAGCTTAAAATATGATTTTGATAAAAAGATACCTGTATTGAGTTTTTACAAATGGAACTTGTTGATATAGACCAAAAATGTTCTGAGCATTATATATATCATACTTATTATAAAACCCAGGTTGTGTGCGTGTGTGTGTGTGTGTGTGTATCTGTATGTTTATATACTGGATCGGATTTCCTACATTTTTCAACCGATTTCAACAAAACTTCACAGGACTACGTAGAATTACCTTGCCATGGTTCTGACAGCGCCAAAAATTGGAAAAACACAATTGTTTTTGCACGAAATCAATTTGGAAACACGATTAAGAGGCATCGCGAGAATGAAAGGGGGACAACTCATATTGAGTTATACTTATTATAAAACCCAGGTTGTTTGTGTGTGTGTTCCTTTATATATGGGATCGGATTTCCTACATTTTTCAACCGATTTCAACAAAACTTCACTTTTTTTTTTGGCAGGTAGTGTTTCTTATTGTCTTGTGCACTTTTTTCTTTATTTTTACATTCAGAATGCTTTAAAAATTCCATTTACAAGACAATTGTTTATAATAAAATTCTATCCAATCGGTAGACTCATACCGATTGAAAACAATGTTTTTGTTTGAGTTTGACCAATTCATAAAAAACAAAAAAAAAAACAAAAAAAAACAATTAAGACATGCGTGTCCATCAACCTTAAACAATAATCTTTGTCAATTTTATTTTTCAGTCTTTATGATGGTCGATACTTGATCTATCTCTTACTGTTACATCCCCGGGCAATGCCAGGCTCTACTGCTAGTATATTATAAATTAACTAATTTAAAAATATGGTTCCTTCAGATAATTTATAATATTTATGCTCTGTAAATTTACATTGAGCACTGTTTTGTAAAAATAAAGATATCAATAAGAACATTGGATTATATATCTTACTGTTTTTTTTTTTTTTTTTTATTTATATATATATATATATATATATATATATATATATATATATATATATATATTTTATACAAAAAATCAAATGCATAGTAAAAGCAAGACATCTTCATTAAAAATCATCATAAAGGAATATACAACTCCAGCTGACAAAAAATGAGGATATTAAATTATTTATTATAAATCACTTAAGTACTTAAGGTTTAAAATAAATTTTTAAAAATGAAAAATCTTGAGGCTTTATTTTAGTTTTAATTTTAAGTTAATAGATTAAATTTAATATTTCCAATAAGCAAAATACTTTAGTCAATTTCAAAACTAATTTAAATTGACTGGACAGAGTTTTGGGAGAATTTTTTTTTTGCTAAAAAAATTGATTTTAGCATCATTTTTCACCTGTGTTTTTTGGCAATGTAATTCTCTTTATTAAAAGATGTTCAAAAAATAAGATATACATTCTGAAAATGTATTTGCGGAATATTAGCTGATTTAAAGCATTATTTATCTTATTTGAAACAAATATTATTTACTTTATGTATAAAATATCACAGAAATGCATTTTTTTGACACAGCAGTAGCTGTTTAAATATGCTGTTGATGTTTTTGACAGATTGATGTTTATCTAATGTTGTTCTATGGGGGCTTTAGCTGTTAAAAATTAATTGAATATAATGCGAATGCCTTTCATATATAATTTTTAAGGACTCTTAAGTAATCTTAAAAATTTAAGAAAATATTCTCCATAATCTAATGTTTTATTGAATTTTAGATACTTTTTGGCTTTAAATTTACCATAGTTATCACACTTATTTTCTGATAAAGTTGTGTATGGGCGTACACATCCATAAAAATTGATATGTTTATGCATATACAAAAACAATTCAAAATATGATGTCCGTAAATTATAATAAGCTTTGATTTATAATTAGTAAACAGTTTAACTTAATAACAATATTCCCTAACAGTTACACTATTAAAACTGAATTTTAAAAGATTTAGAAACTTTATTAATTATTATAATTATAAAAAAAAAAAAAAAAACTTGTAAAAATTCATTATTTATTGAAACAAATTTAAAGACAATAGTCCTTAATATATATTAGTCATAAAAGCAATTAAAAGCTTTTCTAATTAAATAGCGTCTTAGTTTTATTGTGTTTTTTATTTTACAATTCAGAACAGATTTTTGTAAGACAAGATCTGATTTTACAAAAAACAAATTGATGAGTCAAATAATCCGAAGACTTTTGCTTTTAACTAATATAGCCACTAAAAATCTTGAATTTCTGGAGTTTTCATAAAATTAAGTGGGGTGAAATACATGTAAAAAAATTTTTTACCATGATTTTCTAAGAAAAAACATTTCTAAAATAATTTAATTCATTTGTAAACAAGTCCTGAAAGTTTCATTAAAATGCAACAATTATTTGATTTTTGCAAGAATTTCCAAATCAATGTGTCTTTCACATCAAAAAAAGACATTAAAATTTGTTATGCTAATTTATATTCCATCCACTGATGTATGAAAAATAAAACTTAATCAAAATTTTGAATGTTCTAAAAAGGATTAAAAAATATTTTATCAAATATTCAAAAAATCCTTTGGTCTTTCCTTTTAATAATAAAGATTTTGATGATAAAACTTAGTTTTCATGAAGTTTGGGGCATTTTTTTTCTCATCATAGTATATTCTTTATTTCAGCAAATTACTCTTCTATTTTCATCTAATTGCCAGGTTTATCACTCACACATATTTGTGAGCACAAGTACTTTTAAAGATTTGATATTTATTCTGTCAACCATTGCTGGATTATAGAAAGAGATTAGACGATCTGTGACCCTTCGGGTCAACCTTATTGTGTTTACTATTTACATTTAGTTTCATGAATAGTTTGTGAAAGTAAAGATATTTTAAAAAATACATTTATTTGCACCTATTGAAGTTTCAACATTAAAAAAAAACTGTTAGAAGAAAGTTGAACAATAAGAGGTTGGAATGTCAAAATTCAGAGTGTTGGGATTCAATACAATAATATAAAATGTTGTGGGGCTGTGTGTAATTCAGCTGCTCAGAATAATCAAATGATTTTTATTGAAAGAAAAAAAATTCAGTAGAAATGACAGTTTCAACAAATGAACATTAATATAATGACAAGAATACAAGCAATTGGTCATAGATTGGAAAGTAATGTCTTTTTGTTTGGGTTAATATGATTCTGAAATAAAATATAAATTCTCTGTGTGCATATTTAAGAAACAATGAAATGTTATACGTGTGAAAAAGTCAACATGTGTACGTGGGCCATACTAAAGAGGATACAAGAGATAGAATGTGTATCTTACTGTGGATGGTGTTGCCCTTAGTCTGAAGTAGTCACTTTGAAGTTTGTCAGCACTATCACTTTTAGCATGAGGTTGTGAAGTTCACAAGCAAGAGTGGTGTGGACCTTGATGACAGCTGTGTGTATCCTGTTTGGGGCCCAGATTTTGTGTGTTTTATACACTTTCTTGTAAGAAAATCGGCCCATCCCCAACTTCCTACATGATAATAAATTTACATCTTTCTTTTCCCAACTCTCTATATATGACTTGTTTATACCCCCCCCCGCTCTCTATATATGACTTCTAGCAAACACACAAGATACAAAGTTCAGAGTTTTATATAGTAATAAGATACTAACTTGACATTGCTTTCTCTCTCTCTCCCTCAAAAAGTCACTGACAAGATGGTTTCCAAAATTGGAAAAGTTAAAAGTGAAGAAAATTCTTGATTCTTTTGAAACTAACATTTATGAGGTAAAAAATTTTTTTTTTTTTTTTTTTTTTTTTTTTTAA